GCCACGTGGGATCCTCGCCGCCTGGGCTGAAGTGACGCCGGGGGATCGAACGGGGCCAGAGCAGAGTCACATGCGACCACCTCCTCTTTCCTGGGGGTAACGAGGAGGAGACCCAGCAGCTGCTTTGCCCTGGGGCAAAGGCGGAATTCTTGAGGATTTTTTGTAAAATGTCACGGAAGGGCGACCTGACTTTCCTTTCCTTACACACTTTGCCTCCTGGCACTTTTGCGGACAGTCTGCCGGGGACCCGGAGCCAGCAGCGGAGGCTTGGGGCCCGGGGCGGGTAGGGGGGCGGCAGTTAGCTGAACGTATCGGAAAGGCTGATTTTTATTTTTATTCTTCTTCGCATTTTTTGGCAGCAGTGAGGGCAGTTCTGGCCTTAACACCTGCCTCACATGTGATTGATGTTGCAACTTTTACTTAAAAAAAATTGTTAAGTATTCCTTCCTAATAAGTATAAAGTGCAGTGTGCACAGTCCTTGATTTTGAAATGTTCATTGGAAGGCAGTGACTTTTTTAACTAAAAATAAACATCAAATTGATTTAAAACTATTGGGACACTCCTCATTATAATAGGCAAATCTCATTTCTGCCAACGTCACCTTTCTTTACTTACGAAAGAATGAGTCATTCATAACGGAAAAAAGGTCACTTACGCGCCCAGATTCCCGCCAGTGCGTTTAATGTATTTCTGCTGTCTTCAGAGGGTTATTGTCCCTACCTTGTAGGAAGAAAATAAACAAACAAACAAAAATCAGAAGCTAGCCAGTCGGATTCAGTGGCTAGAGGGTTGGCTTGCGGACCCTTGCCCTGGTCTGGGTACGTGCGGGGGGCAACCAGTCCATGAGAGCAATGTCTGTCTGTCTGTCTCTCTCCCCACTCTGAAAAACAATGGAAAAAATATCCTTGGGTGAGGATNAGGCAACCAGTCCATGAGAGCAATGTCTGTCTGTCTCTCTCCCCACTCTGAAAAACAATGGAAAAAATATCCTTGGGTGAGGATTAAAAAAAAAAAATATATATATATATCAGGATATTCTATTTTTATTTTAAGCTTTCAGACTGTAGAGTAAAGCAGCGATTTTCACCCAGTGTGCCGCAAGATTTTTGAACATGCAGTACCTGACTTTAGTCAGGGGCTCTCATCTCTTTTCCCTTAGATTGTCAAATTAAAAAATGACAACAGCCAACACAACAATAGCCGTCCGGTGTGAATGAATCAAAATGATCCTTTTTTTTTTTTTTTTTTT